TTATTTTTGGGAACTTATATGAAATCACTATGTAAACGTATTTTTGAGTTACAAAATCAGTCTTCATGCGTATCGGAAAGTTGCTTCGTTTCTAAAAAAAAGTTTCGTTTTCTAAGGGTGTTAAAAATGCACAGGATTCAGTATTTTGCCAATAAAACACAGGACATCTACGAGCATAAGATTTCAAAGCAAGCAGAAAAAAATGTCAAAACGTTTTTCTTTTTATTTTAAACATGAAAAAATCGTCTTCCATTTTCTCGCGAAAGAATGAAACAATTTTCCGAACGACTCTATGATAAATAAACATTAACAATATTTGTTGTCTTTATGTACACGTATATTGTATTTTTTAAACTAATCAATGGTAAAATTTATTGCATCGATTAAAATGACCACATTCCGTTTTATTCATTTAGCAAAAAATTAATGTTGCAAGTACACTCTTTTCACTTGTGTATAATATATTTGTTAAGTCTTCCGACACGTACAAATTATATTTCTCCAAATAACATAAAAATAAACTCTTTTTACTTGTGTTTAAATATTTGTTAATTCTTCCGGCACGTACAAATTATATTTCTCCAAATAACATAAAAATAAACTCTTTTCACTTGTGTATAATATATTTCTTAAGTCTTCCGACACGTACAAATTATATTTCTTCAAATAACATGAAAATAAACTCTTTTCACTTGTGTATAATATATTTGTTAAGTCTTCCGACACGTACAAATTATATTTCTCCAAATAACATAAAAATAAACTCTTTTTACTTGTGTTTAAATATTTGTTAATTCTTCCGGCACGTACAAATTATATTTCTCCAAATAACATAAAAATAAACTCTTTTCACTTGTGTATAATATATTTCTTAAGTCTTCCGACACGTACAAATTATATTTCTCCAAATGACATAAAAATAAACTCTTTTCACTTGTGTATAAATATTTGTTAAGTCTTCCGACACGTAGAAATTATATTTCTCCAAATAACATAAAAAATATTCCAGTCGTTTTAAAAAAACACTCGGTCAGCATATTCGTAATGTATCACGGTAGATAATACAAGAATACCGTCGATAATAATCAATGGTAGAATTTATTCCATCGGTTCCTTGGGTATTGGCAATTATTTTACTGGCGAAACGAAATTGCAACGGCCGTTTCTTTTTTCTCCGCTCCGCCGCGAAATCGATTTAAACGTTCCCTTTTTGTTCCCGCGAACAACGATCAAAAGTTGGAAACACGAGAACGAAAACGAAAACGAAAAGAGATCACGATCGAATGCAATAAAAGTGGGTACAAAGGTGTGCGGGGTGGTGGCCGGGGAGAAAATGGGGGAGGAAGAGAGAAAAGGGAGATTGATTGTGCCGGCACTTGCTCTGGCGGAACACATCGATGAAGTTACATTACCGACTAGACCGAGTTACGCAAAGTGGACGCTACAAACTGGACGGCCGCTAAACTTAATTTGCACTTCGAACCAACTTCCGGTTAAACCGCGTCCCGACGGCGGCGGTGCCGAGTCGCTCTTCAGAACTTTGACGGCGGTGTGCCTGACTATTCACCGATCGCTTTCCAAGTCGAATCTCGTTTTCTGTCGCCCGATGTTAGCCACCGTTCCGCGTGAATTCTTTATTGTTTCAAACAGTGACATCACAAAGTCGACCCAACGCCTTATTCCCGTTAAATGTATCGAGGCAATATTTTAACGCTGGAAACCCCAGTCGGAATTATTTTTCACACCTTTTTTCGCAGTCACCGAATTTTTTTGGTGATCATTGCACTGCGTAAGTTTATGCGAATGCATACTTTTAGAAAAATGAACTAAACAAATAAAACTCGAACTGAAGAAAATTTGAATAATCCGAATCTTGTCGTTGTTATAAAACAATATGTATGAAGTCTCGTCGACTTATCTTTTGTCGCAGACGATCTGTGGTTTAATCGTATATTTGGCGCAGACAATATTTGCATTAATAATGAAGAAGCAAATTAAACATTTACAGTTTTACAGAATGGTTTGATTAAAACACAAAAGATCTTTGGCGCTCACGATTGAATTTCTTTTAAACTATGGGTGACGAAGTAAGATTTTTCAGCATCATGATCATGGTATCAAAATTTAGAAAAATCACTGCACCAGAAGACAAAGTTGAATAATGCAACTTGAAATTCTATGTATAAATATTTACCGTACAAAAAATATTAAAGAAATACGTATTTCGAATTTAATATTTTCAACAACACTCCATCTTTCGGCTAATTATAAAATTATACAAAAATTCGTTTATTATATAATTTTGGTTATTTACATTCATATTCACTAATTTCCGAGAATAATATTAATCTTCAATTTCTAAAATTTTCCAGATAATAAATAAATTTTCATGGAAGTATGAAAAAATACCTTTAAAAATTGAAGAGTCTACTGACGCATCTAAAAATAAAGAGAAGAAATGGATATACGTTTTTTCAATCATTGTCTGGTTTTTGGATGTTTATTTGTCGTATAAAAATTGCCCTGTTCATATGGTTTTAGGAAATTATGCAAACAACGAGACTTCCAATTTTTGTATCCATTTTAAACATAGTTCAACGAATCACGATGTGTATGTTCACTTTATTGCATATTATAAACCTCAATAAGATACACATGTGGTAGGTAGATAATCGAATGGGGAACGAGTGGGGGAGAAAAGAGAGAGCGCTATCCTCAGGGACGTGTAAATGGCCCCTTCCATCTAGGCTCAAACTAGAGTTTAAATAAAATATTGATTTCTCTGACGCAGAATTGAAATCATATTTTTAACGTGCACTTCCCATTCCCTTTATAATTGATAGGCTATGGATCTTGGTGCATTTATGGTATACATGCAAGTTTGTGATACGAAAGAACAGGCGCATACCGATGCAAATTAATTGTATTATTATTCTATATTTACAGTAAAAAACTTTCTAGTCAATGTAAGACATTTTTCCCTTAGTTAGATATTTAGAAATTAAGTAATGAAAACGAGAATTGGAGTGGCGATCCGCAGTTCAATAATTAAATGTTTTTCTTGTAATTTTTTTGTACAGATCTAGGACTTAAATTGTTCTAAAATTTGGGAGGGGCGGGGAGCGTAAAGAGTAACCTTTTTAAACTGCACGAAAACATTTTTTTAACTGAATTTTTGTTACTCCTTATTGAGTGGTGATCCAGTTTTGACGGGCAGTGTAGCATCTATGACAAATATTAATATAATAAATAAATTTAGATAATTTAAGCTGGGTTTGAACCTATTTTAAATAGAAAAATTTGACAAACTAAACGAATTTCAGCATTTGTAAGCAAATTTTGTTTTTCTTTTTTATATACAATTTCAGTTTAACAGCGTTGTTTAAAAATATTATAAATGAAAAAAATGATCTAATTTTAAGTTCAATCCCTGGACAAAGTTGTAACGATATAAGTAAGTGTTGTTTCGAGTCAATAAGTGAATTAGTTTTTTAGTTATCCCGCTCGCCAATTTGAAAAACACGGTATCGAGAAAAACGCGTTTAAAGTTTTCAGTACTTACAGTTTAAAATTCGATGTAAAAATTTAGTCCGCTGTTCCATTGCCATAGAGTAAAATATTACGACTGCAAAGTTTACAAGGAAAATTTTTGACACATTGTACTGTTGATTTATGCAAACAAAATGTTTTTACCCTTTTTACCATTTTTACCCGTTATACGAGAATCCCCGCTTAAATTTAACCTGTCTATCAACAGACAACATTTTATAAATCTTCATACTTAAATATTTTCAGTATCAGTGTCGATAAATCAATTTCAAATTGCCTAAACGATGACGACCTAAAATTGTTCCACGGTTTACGGTAAGAACATAACCTAAAATTTGATATAATGTAAAGTAGTATCTTACTTTGACCTATAAAAATATCAACTTCATT